TGGCCGATACAATGGAAAGCCTCATAACAAATACAAAGGACAAAGTCCACGACAACATGAATAGACTGTCTGACGCTGCTAAATCCGCTTTACAGTTTGATGACATGTCGGATATTATTAGTATGGACGCGATCTCAGGTAAAATAAAAGACAACATGACGTTGAAACAAACAACAATTTACAGTCAAAATTCTATGGTGTTGCTGATATGATTGAACAAAAACAGTAAAAGAGTCTCGAGTTTCATTCAAACACGACTTTAAGAACTCAACAAGTTGCAGAATTAGATGTTCTGATGATTTGAAGAGATAATAACTTTAAGAAGATTGTTAAGAACGCAACAAATGCGAATATTCTTCGCATTGTTTGGATGTGTGAAATCAGGCAGACAAAAAAGTATCCGCTTCGATGTTATTCATATTCGAATTTTTAAGCTAAGACTGGTTTAATTTTATAATTTTTTACTATTTTATTTGAATTGTCATAAATCATATTTTGAATAATCTTGTTATTTTTAATCATTTCCCAAAAACGCATTTTGTATACTTTTTAAGTGTTAAAAATCCACATTTTTGGTAATAAAAATTCTTTTAAACACTTAAAGTATTAATTATAATAAATATTAATTGTTTTAACTATATCAAGTCAGAATTATTTTAAGTAAACTATATAATAACTATTGAATTGCTAAACTTTATTCAATATGTATCATAATGAACGATACAAATATCATTATAGCTGTTCGGCGACTTTATAGTCCCTTTGAAAATCGCCGACTTTTTAGTGGTCTTAAAAGTCGCTGACCTAAATATTTAGTTAAATAACTATTCAAAATACCATTTATCATGTCAAAGATATTCAAAAAAATAAACCATATAAATTTAATATAATTATTATTAAAAAATAAAATGAAACAATACCGTCCCAATTATATCTTCTCAAATCATTTTTTAAATTATATTTATATGATTATAATATAACAAATTATAACAACTATTGTGTTTTTACACATTTTTGAGACTATAATTAATATGGTATAATTATTAAAGTTAATAGTTATTTGGTTCTAAATAAAGTCTTTTTGAACTAAAGAAGTCCCTTCAAAAGTCGGCGACTTTTAAAGGGACTCAAAAAGGCGCCGACTTCTCAGTAATATCATAAGTCGCCGAACAGCCATTAGAGAAATTTAATATAATCATCACCTGTTAGTCAATAAACACATAATTAAATCGTTAGAATCATACAAATGTTGGTATTCAAATAGTATAACATCATTACCACAATGATGACTTACAAAAATGCTTTTAATATAATCATTTTTTTGTTATTTACTTTGGTACTTGATAATTTCATTCTCCTTTACTAAGTATTTCAAATTCAACGTTTATAAGCTCATTAAGTATATTATTGATACGTATATCACCGTTTTATTGTCCTTAGCTAAACAAAATAAAACCCCATAATTTTCAATTATAGTAGTAATTAAATTGAAAAGTATAAAATAATCAGTGTTTGTAATTGAATTGTTCTTAAGGCGGGTTCGGTTTAAAACAATTTTCAATATAAATTTCAATATAATAATAAACTTAATTTCTAAATTATAAATAATACCATTTAAATGTGATAAACAATAATTTGAATTAAAACTTAATAACACATATATAATAATAGTAGTATAAAAATGTATTAAAAATAATAACACATAAAATATAAATAATACCAATATAAGATTCAAAATATGTAGCAATAAATAATTAGTTTTATTAATATCTTTTTTTTAATTAACACATTTTTTATTTTTTTATATATTATAATAAATTAAATTATTATAATTAAATATATTATATTTATAACATTTTCGTTAATTAAATCAATCAATATTTCTCTATAAGTTTTTAAAATATATTTAATGATTAAAAAAATATATAAATTAATAATTTTTTTGAATGTGATTTTTTGTAGATTCATTTAACTATTTATTAATAGTTGTTATTAATTTTTATATAGTTATTTTATTTGGATATATGTGTTATTAATATTCTTTTTTATTTTTAGATATTGTTGTACTATTATTTATTATATATTTAATTATTATTTTGAAAAAAAAAATAAATTATACTTTATAATATTATTATTAATACACTGAAAAGAAAGAAAACGTCAAAATTTCGATTTAACAGATAATTTTATTATTTTTAAGATTGAGGTTTTGTGTATATTCAAGTTTCATCTAATAATATTTCCCGTTACTACACAACATTAATATCTGTTATAGTCGTATTTTTTGCCGTTTTGGTTTTATTTTTTAGACAATAGTGTATTATTTCTGTTAAGAACCGGGTTTTTTAGTTGTAATATTTTTAATGTATTTTTTGTCTTTTTGGTAAAAAGGTGTTTATGCATGTTGGTTAAAACAATCAATAATCGCAGTGTTATTTTGTTCATTTTGGATAACTTTTCATTTTTTATAGTTAAATAATACACTATGAAGACTTAAATGATCGGGAATTGAAAAAATAGTTCTAAATATAAAATGTATATGATTTATTTTTAAATATGTATTTTTTGCACAATTCTAAAATAAGTTTGGTAAAAGTATTTTTCCAAAAATAAAAGTGTATTTTGTTGATTAAAGGTGCACTCGATAATCAAAAAAAATCCAGAAAAACAAAAATGAGACAAAAATTTTGTGAGTAAAAAATGCAAAAGCTACGGAGTATGTATGGATACAGTATCTCGAATTGCAGAGTGTTCATTAAACTGTGACATTTCAAATTGCACTAAATGTTTATCTTCGTCATGTAA